GCCTGACTGGTCTCTAATACAGTTCTACTGAATGTCAGGTTTCCAGATCAGTGATTCTCTGATTGTGGCTGGTGAACCTGCAGCATCAGTATCATCCAGGAACTTGTTAGAAATGTAAATTCTCAGATTCCTCTTAAGACCTATTGAATGGGTTAGAAATGGCTGGGTACTGTGGCTCATACCTGTAATCCTAGCACTTTGGGAGGCCAAGGCAGGCGAATCACTTGAGGTCAGGAGCTGGAGACCAGCCTGGCCAACATGGTAAAACCCTGGGTGTGGTGGCAAGTGCCTGTAATCCCAGCTACTCGGGAGGCTGAGGCAGGACACTCACTTGACCCTGGGAGGTGGAGGTTACAGTGAGCCGAGACCATGCCATTGCACTCCAGCCTGGGAGACAACAGTGAAATTCCTTTTCAAAAAAAAAAAAGGAAGAAATTCCAGAAATGGGACCCAGTAATTTGTGTTTTAACACACCCTCCAAGTTACTCTGACACATAAAATTTGAGAACCACTGTTCTTCTAGATCCTTGTGTTTTGTAAGGACCTGTGGTCCATTCCTTAGATACCATCTTAAGTCTGATAACTGAGCCAGGATGGGGACAAAAGGCACAATGTCAGAGCAGAGTCAGCATAGGAGTCTTCCAGCTGATAGTGTTGCCTGATCCCTCAGAAACATGCAAAAGGAAACTGTAACTGAAGTTCTCAGAAATAGAATGACCTGATCACTGAGATTTGCTTTAAAATACTACCCAGGCACATACACAAAAAAAGCAGGGAGGAGAACAGAAGAAATAAATATAGCAAACAGCAAAATGTTGATTACTGATGAAGCTAAATGACATGTATGAGGGTCTTTTGGTAATCCCTACCTCCCTACTTTTGTGTAAAGTTGAAAAGTTTCAAAATAAAAAGTTTTTTTTAAAAATTAGAAGGTACTCAGAGTCAACTCTAAATGTTAACAGGAAGATTAATCAAGACTGCACAACTGCCTCATTGCTGTTCTTCAAACTCATCAAGCATATTCCCACCCTTTGTCCCTGCTGTTCCCCTTTCTTGGAATGCTTTCCACCAGACATCCACATGGCTTGCTCCTTCACTCTTTCAGATCTCTGCTCAAAAGCCACCTTGACCATCCCATTTATTAAAATAGCAACACCCCAACACCCACATACTAGCACTCTCTATCCCCCTTCCCAGCTTTAGTTTTTTCCACTTAGCATGTTCTAACATATACAATGTTTATCAGAAGGTAGCCTCTGGTGGCAGAGGCTTTGACTGTTTTCAGTTTATATATATTCTTAGTCCCTTAACACATTTCTTGAATGAGTGAATGAATGAATGAATGAATCCTCTGCTGGATGCTTAAGTCAAATGAAAGACATATACAATAGCCTAAATGTTTCTACACATAGACAAAAATCACACAAAATTGATTTTAAAAAGCAAAACTTCATTCACCTTCAAGAGCAGCTGAGAACCAGAATGTGAAGATCTGGGGCGAGGTTTGCGAAATTTGCAAATCAACAGTCTAGTGCTGATCTGGATGATCACAGAGGAGTAAAGAGGGAGGCACTAAATCTCCAGCCTGGGTTGTCTTGGGGTGAGTGACAGGATGACGGCAGCGTTAGGCTAGAAGTGCCAACTTTTCACGGTTTTTGTCGTTGCAGAAGTCAAGAAAAATTTAGCCTCTTTCCAAGGGCTGTTGCTGCTTGGTTTCTGCTGCTATCACAAAGAGAAAAAGGTAGTTAAGAGGGAGTTTCTTCTTGTTCAAGGAAGAGACAGTTCAGAGATTACCAGCTTTTTCAAACAGGGCTGCTTTAGTGAAAAAGACTTGCTCCCTCTACTCTCAATGCCCTTTCCTCTGAAGAGATGCAACGTGGATTTAAAAGGTGAAGAGCTGGAAAAGGAAGTTGGTGGGTCATGGAATTTACAGCATCACAAACACTTTTTTAAAAATAAGCAGGAAAAGTGGCCTAATTCAAAGCTTTCATGTTACGCATAGAATGCTTAGGCCTACAGAGGTCGAGCGACTTAAGATTAGGAGTACAGAAGGACCGGGACTTAAAGACATTGGACAGGTCCTAATTACCTCTAATCTTCATGTGATGTGGATATAATTAATTAGGTTGTTAATGAATTAAGCAAGAAAGACCCATCTGATTTATCTAAATGAGGTAAAGAATGGGACCTTTCAAAAGAAGTTGGGCCAAAAATAGACTATATGATGAGTATCCAGAGAAGGTGGTAAACTCAGCAGGTAAACACTTTATCAATTTCTATGGGAATAAGACAAATGTAAATGAGCCTCAAGTCTGGATCACAGGGGTCTTTCCCCTAGGTCCATGGGCGCTTCTTTGGGTGTGACAACTTCACATCTAGCTAGCCAAAGCAGCTTCAGAACTCAACGTTTAAATTCTGGGTTGGGCTGCGGCTTTGTGGCCCTGGAAGAGGAGGTTACTCCGCTCCATCCCATGTGCTCCCTTCTCAGGACTAGGCCACTAAACAAAGACTGCTGGGAAGAACCATCAAGGGGCGATTCCGGCAGGTTAGCGCTATCTCGGGCATGCCGTAGGGAGAGAGGACAAGGCTGCCCCGGAAAATACTCTCCGATACCCGTGCTTCCAGGACAGGCCCTGAAGCCTCTCTCGGGGAAGCACTTACAGCTGTTCTCCAGGGTTTCCCTGGAGACCCCAAAGACACCCAACACCTGCCTCCCCAGGGAAGACTCTCTGTGCCTGATCTGTGCTGCCGGGCCGCCGGGCCTGAGTGAAGCCTGTCCAGCCTAGGAGGGCCCCTCAGAACCTCCCGGTCCAGAACCCTCACTTCGTCCACCCCTGCGGAGGCGGGGCGGGCCCCGCACCCTTCCCGCGGCGCGGCCCCACAGGCCAGCCTTGCGAGTACTCACGGCGACCCCGGGCCGCGCGCGGGCGCGGCCGCAGCCGACGAGACGAGCGGCCCGGGACGCCCCGCGGGGGCGGAGCGGGGGGCCAAGGGGCGGGGGCCGGGCCTGGCGGGCGAGGTCGCGCACCCCACGCCTCGTTCCGTCACGGGCGCGCTCAGCCACTCTGCGCACACTCGCACGGTGACACCATGGCACGTGGCCCGCTCCTGACCAACAGCCTGGCGGCCTACTCCTGGGCGCGCCTCTGCCGCCGACGCCAGCCCTGGGACGCCTGCGCGACTGTGGCTAGTCGGGAGGTGGTGCGGAGCTGGGGGTGGCGCGGAGCTGGGGGTGGCGCCTGCGCCGTTTGTAGGGGAGGAGGTGGAGAAGGAAGAGGGACTCCGAAGGTGTGCGGAGAGCCTTCCAGAGGCGAATGCTTGCATTTGGCGCCCCGTGTGGTTGGGAGGAATGAGCAGGGAGGGCAACCCGGTTTGCTTGTGGGCTGGGAGGGAGTCCCCTTGCTGGAGGCTCGAGCCGACAGATGAGAGATTGAATGGGAAGTCCTGAGGCCCTGCTGACTGCAGGTTTCTCTGGTTCCCTAATGGAAGTCAAACACCTCCGGCTTTTAAAAATCCTTACATTGGCCGGGCGCGGTGGCTCACGGCTATAATCCCAGCACTTTGGGAGGCCGAGGCGGGTGGATCACGAGGTCAAGAGATCGAGACCATCCTGGTCAACATGGTGAAACCCCGTCTCTACTAAAAATACAAAAATTAGCTGGGCATGGTGGTGCGCTCCTGTAGTCCCAGCTACTCAGGAGGCTGAGGCAGGAGAATTGCCTGAACCCAGGAGGCGGAGGCGGAGGCGGAGGTTGCAGTGAGCCGAGATTGTGCAATTGCACTCTAGCCTGGGTGACAACAGCAAAACTCCTACTCAAAAAAAAAAAAAAAATCCTTACATTTGGCTGGGCGCGGTTGCTCACACCTGTAATTCCAGCACTTTGGGAGGTCGAGGCAGGCAGATGACCTGAAGTCAGGGGTTCCAGACCAGCCTGGCCAATATGGCAAAACCCCATCTCTACTAAAAATACAAAAATTAGCCGGGCGTGGTGGCGGGCGCCTGTAATCACAGCTACTTGGGAGGCTGAGGCAGAAGAATTGCTTGAAGCTGGAGGCAGAGGTTGCAGTGAGCTGAGATGGTGCCACTGCACTCCAGCCTGGACGATAGAGACTCAGTCGAGAGAGAGAGAGAGAGAGAGAGAAAGAGAGAGAAAAGAAAGAAGAGACTCAGTCTCAAACAAACAAATAAATATGGAGAGTCTCAAATAAATAAATAAATAAATACATAAAATAAAATTCTGACATTTAACTCATTTGCTCCCCTGGTAGCTGCAGCGCGATGGAAAGCACCTGGCCTTCTAGTCGATCTGGGTCTGAAGCTTGGGTTTGTTCAGCACTTATTAATAGTGCAGTCTTAAAGACTTTCACTTTTTGAGTCTGATTTCTCCTCTTTGAAGTGGAGACAGTAATACGTGTTTCATGGAGCCACTGTGGTGAGGATGAACTGAGATAGTATCAGGCTGAACTGTATGAAACTGCTATTTTTGTAGTTTATAAATAGTCAAATACCTTCCATTTCATCCGATTCCAACTAATCCGTGTAAAGTAAGCAGCAGAGTATCTGGGACTAGGAAGCAGTCAGCACATGGAAGCTGTAATTGCGGTTATTAACCCTAGACATGAATGGACCTTCTTCATTCTTATCAGTCTTGGGGCTTCCACATGCCCCTCTTTTCCATCAGCACTAATGGGAAAAGGCTTATCTTAGACCTACTCTGCTCCCTCACTCCCTCTTTGTAGCTGGACACAGCACACACAAAGAAGGCTTTGGCCTTGAGTAATAGAAACATGTCATTTCTATCCCTCCTAAGCTGGCCTCAGAAGTTTCCCCAGTGAACTTTTTGTTGTTGCTGCTGTGGATTTACATTCGCACGTTCTCAGCCTCTCCTTTCTAACTCCTTTCCCTTTTGATGTCCACCCCTGCTCACTTTGCCACTCAGCCTGGGCCACAACACTGTGTCAGTATTAGTTTGTTACACCTATTGCTTATAGTAACTGAAAAGAGTGAGGGATCAATATAGCCTCGGTTTCAATACAGCCTTGGTTTCAGAGTGCAGAAGTTCAGAGTAGTAAGGGAAGGAGTTGGGCCTGTTCTCTAAAACAACGCACCCTCAAGGGGCCCATAACAGCTTTTGAGAGCCATGTGTGTCTTGCAGTGTTTGAACATAAGCATTGTGCCCATGTTGAGTGACAAGTCAGACTCTGGTATTCAATCCCCTTTCGGATTCCCTCTTCCCGGCATATCACCAGCTCTTCTATTCATCATGAATCTCAACCGCCTCAGAGTTTATCAGTATCTTCCAGGCTTCACCTCTTTTCCCACCCAGTCCAGATCTTTGGTCAGTCATTTCAATCACATTTTTGTTAATATGCTTGTACTTACTCTGTAAAAATCACACTCCTGGATCATGCCAGCTATCTACCTTCTCTAGTCTCCCATTCTAAACCAGGATAAAAGAAATCACCCAATCCAGCACACTTGAACTTGTGAGTGGACACCATTTTAGGTTAGTCTAGGCCATGAACCGTATTCTGTGGGAATTATAGTTTCCACACCCCTACTCTGTATCCACAGTCCCCAGGGCCATGTTTGTCATGTGTGACCCCTGGCACTCTAGCTGCAGTTTATTGAACTGAAAGTGGATTCCTGATCTAAGCTGTGTTAAGCAGATGTTCTCGTCTAAAAATCTGGGATTAGAGCTGAGAGATTATGGTTCTAACTGGACTGGTTTCTTAAGCAAAAGAGACATAGACTCAGGAGCTATGGTACATCCACCTGCTATGATGAAGGAGAAAAGGAAAAAGACCATCTGGGGACACAGAATGAAGCATGGAGAGGCAGAGACCAGAAATGGTGAGACTACTCTCTGCTTCCTGTCAGATTCTCAGGCACCTCTCCCTTCCTTCCTTCTCCTTCCTTCCTTCCTCCTTCCCTCCCTCCCTCCCTCCCTCCCTCCCTCCCTTCCTTCCCTTCCTTCCTTCCTTCCTTCCTTCCTTCCTTCCTTCCTTACTCCTTCCTTCCTTCCTTCCTTCCTTCCTTCCTTCCTTCCTTCCTTCCTTCCTGTCTTTTGAGACAGGGTCTTACTCTATCACTCAGGCTGCAATGCAGTGCTGTGATCATTGCCTACTGCAGCCTCCAAGGCTCAAGCATGCGCTAACCTATCTGGCTAACTAAAAAAATTATTTTGTGTGGAGACAGGGTCTCCCTATGTTGCCCAGGCTGATCTTGAACTCCTGGGCTCAAGCAATCCTCCATCTTGGTCTCCCGAAGTGCTGGTATTACAGGTGTGAGCCACCATGACTGACCCTGGCACTTTCTGAGGCCTTTTGATCTTGGGGGACTAGGAGTCACTTTCCATCTAAAGTAAATGGCATAAGCTAACTTAATGTGCACTTAGTACAGCACTCCTACAAATTCACTGTCTCCGCAGCAGAACCCTCAGTGTACCCAGTAACCCTTCCACATGTCAGCCTCTCCCACCATCCCCAATTCTGCTTCACAGAAAAAAAAAAAAAAAAAAAGGACTATGGGTACCAGCTAAGTGGGTGGCTGAGGCAGGAGGATTTCTGGGCCCAGTAGTTCAAGGCTACAGTGAGCTGTGGTTATGCCACTGCACTTCAGCCTCAGCAATGGAGCAAGCTCTCTTCAGTAAAAAAAGGCCATGGGGGAACTGCCTCAATTTTCTGTCCCCTCCAAACATTGGAATCTCTCCCATCCTTTCTATTTCCGAAGCCGAGAAATCTCTCTTCAAATACAAAGTTAATCCTTTCACTATGATCTGTATTTCATTCTTTTTTGCCTCTTCAGGAAATTTACTCCTTCACTTACCTCTCTCTTTCATTTATATTCAACTTTTTCCTCTCCCCTACTCTTTGATCTTGGTATATAAACTTGATCAACGGGCCCAACCTTAAAATGAAAATCTAATTTGAATCCCATATGCCACGCTACTAATTTTTCTTACCTTCAGCTAAACTTCTAGGAGTAGTCTATACTCTCCCTGTCCACTTCCTTGTCTTCGACTGTTCCTTAAATCTGATGTCATCTGACCTCTCCCCCAAATTTCTACTGAAAATATTTTCACCAAAGTGACAGACGACTTACAAATGGACAAATCCATTGGAAATGTTCAGGCTTAATTTATGACACACAGTGTCATTTGGCATTGTCAATTATCCTGCCCCTGCAATTGACCACACAGTGTCATTTGGCACTGTTGATCATTCTGACCCTGCAACCCTTTCCTCTGTTGGCTCCTATGGGTTATACTCATCCCATTTCTTCCTACACCTTATATGGCTCCTTCACAGTATCCTCATCATACTCCCTTATCATTCCCTACTTAAGTATAGAAGCAGTTCAGCCCACACCCATTTCTCCCCTTTTTGCTCTTCCAGGTGGCCTCCATGGCCACTTGAAGGAGATCTCGGTAATTTGGGGTTGCCCAGAAACTGAATCTTCTTCTTATGTTACAAGTCTTGGAAGTAAGCAGAGCCCATTTGTCATGGCAGATACTGAAAAGGTTGGATCTGTACTTCCCCAGCTCTCTAGCTAAGACAGAGGCATGTGATGTAGGCCTGGCCAAGCATCATCCAGAAATGTAGATTCTGGAGCACATGATTCAGAGAAATAGTGGCAATGGTGACAGGAGGGCAGGGTCAGCTTTGCCCCATGCCCAGGGACTCTCATGGTGTGGGTACTGGTGGCGGTGACATCCCGTGTCCAATAATGATGACAGCAGCAGTGGTTTTGAGGGGCTGGTTCTGGCATCTGAATTTGGCCTGCGCTCTGGTGGACTGGCCTCTCATTGTTCCTGCCTGTTTTCCAAGCTTGGGTCTCCTGCCTGGCAATCCTGTGACCCACCTAGTGCCCTTTAAACAAATGGCTCTTTTTAAATCCGCCTGCGTGACACACAGTTATAGACTGGAACTCCCAAATCTATATTCCCATCCTGTACTTCCTGAGTTTCAGGTTGCCTTTGGACAAGTTGTCTTTGGGACAACTTCACTTGGATATTACATAGGCAAACATCTTCTTACTGTGTTTCTTTCATGTTCCTAGCTTAGTAAATCTCACCTGTGGCTTATTCAGCCTGAACCCTGAGAAGAAAGCATCTTAGACTTTTCCCATCCTTATTTAAACAGAACCAATTTCACCTTATAAACATCCTAAATTTTACATCTTAATACATCTTCTTCTTCTTTTTTTTTTTTCTTTCAGATGCTGGCCTTCTGCCCTCTAGCTGCCTGAAAGCACTGAGACTCAGAAGGCAGAACAGGCCACAAGCCTGGGTCTGGCTTTTCCCAAGGAATTTTTGTTTTTGGGATGGAGTCTTGCTCTGTCACCCAAGCGTGTTCTCAGCTCACTGCAACTTCTGTCTCCCAGGTTCAAGCAATTCTCCTGCCTCAACCACCTAAGTAGCTGGGATTACAGGCAGCTGCCACCATACCCGGCTAATTTTTGTATTTTTAGTAGAGACAGGGTTTCACCATGTTGGTCAGGCTGGTCTCGAAGTCCTGACTTCGTGATCCTCCCGCCTCGACCTCCCAAAGTTCTGGGATTACAGGCATGAGCCACAGCGCCCGGCCTTCCCAAGGGATATATTAGATATTCAGCAGAAAATTCAAGAGACTAAAAAGAAAGCCTGTGAAATGAGCCTCAGCCTCCTGGGGAGTAGTAAATAGGGTCTCACTATGTGGCCCAGGCTGGTCTCAAACTCCTGGCCTAACGTTATCCTCCCACCTCGACCTCCCAAAGTGCTAAGATTACAAGTGTTAGCAAATAAATACATCTTAAATCAATCCCTCCTTTATATTCCTATTTCTCCCTACCAGAATTATTGCATTTGCCTCCTCATAGACTCCTTATCCAGTATCTGCTCCTCCAATCTGTTCTCCACTTAGCTGCTTAATGGATCTCTCTAAAATTCAAATTTGGTCATGTCACTCCTCTATTGAAACCCTTCAATGGGCCAGACCCAGTGGCTCATGCCTGTAATCCCAGCACTTTGGGAGGCCAAGGCAGGTGGATCACTTGAGGTCAGTAATGAAATCTGGTGTCATCCGACCTCTCCCCAAAATTTCCACTGACAATATTTTCAACAATACTTTTCACCAGAGCCTGGCCAACATGGCAAAACCCCATCTCTATTAAAAATAGAAAAATTAGCCAGGCATGGTGGTTGGCTCCTGTAATCCCAGCTACTCGGGAGACTGAGGCAGGAGAACTGCTTGAACCCAGGAGGCAGAGGTTGCAGTGAGCTGAGATTGCACCATTGCACTCCAGCCAGGGCAACAGAGTGAGACGCTGTCTGAAAAAAATAAATAAATAAATAAAAATAAAACCCTTCAATGTCTCCTTACTACTCTCAGGATAAATATACCCTTTCTACAGATATGACCCTATTTGATTCACCACCCCTCACATGCATCCTATACTCCAGCCTGGCCAGATTATACATTGTTACAGGCCATGCAGGACAAACTTTTATATTTTGTAAGTATTAGTACTTAGTGCGGCTGACATTCCCAATACCACCTCCTGCCCGCTTCCACCCCACATAGATGGATGCATGACCCATCAGGCCAGGCGAAGGACTCCATCATCCTGACCAAAGTCATTAGTTCAGGTGTGGGTTTGTGACCTGAGTAAAGCCAATCATAATCTTCTGCTCAAAGCTCTCTTTCTTTTTAGGTCAATGTGCTAAGAGGATATGAGATTGAAACTGCGGGCACCCAGCTCTCCCTGCCACAGGACAGAGAATGCAGCCGAGGCATAAAGGGAAGCAGAGCTCTGAGAAATGGAATAAGAGCGATCTGATGACATTGTCTGAACCCTTGAGGTCAGCCTCGCCTGAGGTCAGTAATACCACCACACTTCTCAGTTCTTGTCTTGCTTAAGCTGGTTTATCTTGGTTCCTCTAAGTTGCTATTAAATCAGTCCTAATACAGAAATGGAATGAAGAATTGAACTGATGGCACTGAAGTGAAATTGAGGCAGTGGAGATCTCCACCTGGCTGGGAAATTGGAAATCCCCGCTATTTGGTATCAAACCAGCTGGTTAAGTGATCATCTATTTTATCTTGAGATTCAAGTCATGTATCTATCAAAGGGAGATTTCAGAGACGCACTGGGAAAAAAAGCCATTTGGTTGTTGGAGTACATTGACCTCTTCTTGAGATTTTCAATAAGGTCCTCCAGTTTGACTTTCCTCCATGCTGACAGAATCAAAACACTATACAGTTTTGTTCAGAATTGGCTTTTCTGCTGTTTTTTTTTTTTTTTTTTTTTTTTTTGTGGTGGAGTCTTTATTGCCCAGGTTGGAGTGCAATGGCACGATCTCGGCTCACTGCAACCTCTGCCTCCTGGGTTCAAGAGATTCTCCTGCCTCACCCTCCTGAGTAGCTGGGATTACAGGTGTGTACCACCATACCCGGCTAATTTTTATATTTTTAGTAGACCATAGTTTCACCATGTTGGTCAGGCTGGTCTCGAACTCCTGACCTCGTGATCTGCCTGCCTCAGCCTCCCAAAGTGCTGGGATTACAGGTCTGAGTCACTGCGCCAGGCCACCTTTTCTGCTTTTGACCAGCAATCCAGGCTGCTAAAGGTCAAATAATCATGCATCGTGTAGACTATAAAGGCCAAATCCTTTTCCCCAAGCTAAAGTGAGTAAGAACAAAGGCCTAGAGGTAGGAAGTAGGAAATATTGGAGTAAGTTAAGGGTCTGGAAATTTCCAGGAAAAAAAAAAGGGAGAATTCTGATCCTCCAACCTGAATGCTTCCCTTTCCTCCCAAAATAAATAAGATGTATTTGACTTGGAATCCAGACAGTGTTGGGGGTTCTGGTGCCTGGAGACTTTGGCCGTGAATCCTCTGGGAGAGAATGGGATGTACTGGGCACGAACTTCATGCATCTTCTTGGGTTATCTAAGCCACCTCCTTCTTTCTCTCTCTTGGTTGGCCCCCTGCCTGTGCTAAGCAGCCCTTCTACTTCCACGTCTCTAGTAGAAATGCCACACAGCAGGCCATGGGAGCTGACTTCCCAGCAGCCACCCAGGGAGCAAATGATGCCACTGAGAGGTGCAGGGGAGTTAGCTTCTTGTGGGATGGCATCTTGGCCAACAGAAAACAGGAGAAGAGAGGGGAAAAAAAGCATTAATTCCCTTTCAAATCTCCCCTTGGTGAACTGCTCCAAGATGCGATTTCTCCTTGAAAACACCATGTGCTTGGCAAACAAGTCTGACAGGTGACCTGCTCTCTCCTCATGGCTTATGCGAAGTGGCAGCCAGCATAGTACTGCATCATCTCCCACTGCCTTCATCTCTTCTCCTTTTCACCATCCTGGACTTCTACCTCCCCCAAAAATGTCAGCACGTACCTCAGAATCTGCTTTCTAGAGTACTTGGGCTAAGATATGGAGACAAAATCAAAGCCCCCATCCCTATATTAAGTCCCAACAGTGGGGTAACATAAAGGTTCTGAGGACACAGCTGAGTTTTTCTACTCGAATGCAGGGAATCCAGCCCAGATTGCTGGCTTCCTCTCAGGAGTCCAGTGTCCGGTCACCGGGTCAGGCCATCTCAGGACTACTCCCCAGGAGGCTGAGGCTCATTCCACAGGCTTTCTTTTCACTCTCTTGCGTTTTATGCTGAGCACCTGGGATATCCCTTGGGAAAAGCCAGAGCCAGGCTTGTGGACTGTTTTGGCGTCTGAGTTTTATGCTTTTAGGCAACTAGAGGGCAGGAGGCCAGAGTCTGGAAGTTCAGAGCCCCCTCTACAGATGGCCAGTCAAAGGCTTTGGTCAGCCCAGGTTTCTAGAGGGCAGAGGTTGCCATAATAGCTGTGTCTGGAGTTGGGGCTGCAGAGAAAAAGTGTGGCCCTCTGCCCCTTCTTAGTTTTCACTTGGCACAGACTTGGCCACCTCTTTGCAGATCCAGCTGGCTCAGGCTGCAGGCTGGAAGGGCAGCTGCATGGCCCACGTTGGCTCTTAGCTCCCTGATCTCATGGGGTTTCTTCCAAATAATACAGGGCTGTGTAACATAACTGTGCAAATATACTGGCCATAGAAGGAGGCCCAGAGGCCAGAAACAGCCTCTGAGTCCCTGCTGGGTTTGGCTATGTCAAGATGGAGGCAAGTGCAATCGGGACAGTGGTTGCTCAAGGATTACAGCCCAAGCTGGAAAGGATCAAGTGAGATTCTGTGATCTCACCATAGCACCCTCTTCTGGAAGGTATTCCATATATGTTCTGCTCCACTGAGGCCGGGGTGAGCCCCCAGGTCTGGTCAGAGCACATAGCAAAATCAGAGCTGCTTCAAGGTCAGAGGTTACTAAGAGGTCCTATCTCAGACCAGAGGGCTTTTCTCCCTACATCCAAGACACCCAGGTTGCATCCAGCAAGAGAAATTCATTCTAGGGGCTCTGCTGGAGGCTGAAGACTCTGCCCAAGTTCTAGAGCTTCTCAGAGGGCTCCCCGAATTCCGTGTCAACTGATAGACTCCCCTGAGGAGTCTTTTGATAATGTGGCCTCAGTGTAATAATGGGCCATAGTCAGAGCCCGAGGAGTACAGCAAGCTGCAGGTTCCTGGCCCAAGAGTGCTTGACTGGTTGCTTCCATCCTGTCCTACGCACCTCCTTGGGGCTGAGGCCTAGGAGCCAGCACTGCTAAGGGATTTTGACTGTCTGGTCAAGACCAAGATCACTAGAGCATAAGCAGGCCAAGTGTTGAATGGGTAATCTCTCTTTGTGGGTAGTGAGCAGATTAAGGTTGACTTACCACCATAGACAGGCCATTATGGAAGCCATGAAGCTGAGGGGTAGGGGAATGGCCAGTGTGACCTGTTGCTAAGACACAGAAATCACATGAGCTAGATTGAGACTCGTGGAGCAGGACATTATCAATGGATTTCTGATCATGGTTACCAGCTCACAGAAAGCCCACGAATCAGAGAATCCTCACAACTGACAAACAAAGATCTGGGAATGCTGAATCTCTAAGGTAGTCTTTAAACCTAAAACTGGCTGGACCCGGTGGCTCACACCTGTAATCTCAGCACTTTGGGAGGCCGAGGCTGGTGGATCACTTGAAGCCAGGAGTTCAAGACCAGCCTGGCCAACATGATGAAACCCCATCTCTACTAAAAATACAAAAATTAGTCGCGTGTGGTGGTGGGCACTTGTAATCCCAGCTACTCAGGAGGCTGAGGCATGAGAATCGCTTGAACCCAGGAGGCAGAGGTTGTAGTGAGCTGAGATTGCACTACTGCACTCCAGCCTGGGCAACAAAGCAAGACTCTGTCTCAATAAATAAAGTCAAAACCATGTCAAAAGGGAATTGGGATGCTTCAGTTCCAATGGTCCATCCTCTTAGGGATGTCCATAAAGAACAATGGACAAAGGAGACATTTCCCAGTGGAAAGGACCAAAAACAATAGGTTTTGTTGACCAAGAAATTCACTCCACTGTCCAGAGGATGTTTTATATGCTGTAGATTAGTGACCATTGTATTCTCCTCTCTCCAATTCCAGATGGAAGGTTTTTAAAAAAACTATTACAGCCAGGTGCAGTGACATGCAACTGTAGTCCCAGCTAGTCAGGAGGCTGAGGCGAGAGGATCACTTGAGCCTAGGAGTTCAAATCTAGCCTGGGCAACAGAGCAAGAACCCATCTTAATTTAAAAATTATTCAATCGTGGGTATTTGTAGTCCCAGCTTCTCAGGAGGCAGAGGCAGGAGAATTGCTTGAGGCTAGAAGTTCAAGTCCAGCCTTGAAAACATTAGCAAGACCCATCGCCTTTTTTTTTTTAATATGGAGAGTTTATTTGGGCCAAGGTTGAGGACTGTAACCCTGGCCATGCTTCAGGTTATTTTGGAGAGTGCTCTGGGGGAACAAAGGAGAGGCTCAACTTTTAAAGAAAAAGACACAAATCAGGGGAGGGGAACAATAACAAAAGTTGCTCATCAGGCATTCTCTTTGAACTTTTTACTTTTTTTTTTTGAGACAGGGTCTTACGCTGTCACCCAGGCTGGAGTGCAGTGGAGCAATCACAGCTCACTGCAGCCTCAGCTTCCCAGGCTCAGGTGATTCTCCCACCTCAGCCTTTCAAATAACTGGCACTACAGGCATGTGCCACTATGAGCAAGACCCATCTCTTTAAAGCAAATTGTTATCCTCTTTCCCTCCATTATTTCACATTGGTTATAAGGCAAGTATGGGGTAGTTAAGTTTATCTTTTACCCATAGATTGTAAAATCTTAAGAAGTCATATCCAGACCTGAGCAGGAATTGCCCATCACCAAGGAACCCTGGACTGAGGACTCAATAAAGCAACTGGATGTGATTCTGTTTTTTTTGTTGTTGTTGTTTTTTGTTTTTGAGATGGAGTTTTCTCTTGTTGCCCAATGTGGAGTGCAATGGCACGATCTTGGCTCACCACAACCTCCACCTCCCAGGTTCAAGAAATTCTCCTGCCTGGGATTACAGGCATGTACCATGCAGCTGGGATTACAGGCATGTACCATCACGTCCAGCTAATTTTGTAGTTTTAATAGAGACAGGGTTTCTCCATGTTGGTCAGTCTGGTCTCAACTCCCAACCTCAGGTGATTTGCTTGCCTCAGCCTCCCAAAGTGCTGGGATTACAGGCGTGAGCACCGTGCCCAGCCCTGTGATTCTGTTTTATCTCCCATTGGGAAATCGGTGAATGTGGTTTTCTTTGGGTCTAAGATTATCGCATTGTCAGGCAGGCACATTTTTGAAATTGTTTGTCAGGGAAAGTATAGGTGAATGCAATAAAAGGTGGGATATAGTGGATGCATATCATTTATCTGCCCACCATCCCTTCCTTGGGGACCCATT